AATTAAAAATAAAATTCTCTAAGGCGTCGGATCTAGGATCAAATGGTGAGTGACTCACTTGACCGAAATTGGGATCTATATTAGAATCACTAAATGAGTATTTTCAAAAACCCAAAAATAGATTTTGAGTTTCTAAGCACTCGTATCACAACTAGCAATTTGAAAATCATAGTGTGCCTTTCTTCTTCTTCTTCCTCTTCTAGACTGAGCTTTTCCCAAGGAGGTGAATAGATATGCCCCTTGGGAGTACACAACTTTGGACAGTGATTTCATGCAACGATTATATAGTAATATAATACAACAATTTTCAAAAATCATGTTAGGGTGATTTGTTTGATCTAAAATTTAAAATATACACTCTTTTCATTTTAATACACAATCACAAAAAAAATAAAAAATGAAAACGCAACCTATAAAGTAGTTTTTTAACCCAATTAACATAGGCCGTCAATTTTGATAAGATGCTTAGATTTAAGCATTAGAAGGATTTTTTACTTTTCCAATTTTTTTAGAAGGCTTTATTATTATTAGATGAATACTGTTTAGAAGGCTTTATTATTATTGAGATGAAGAGAGTGTGAATGTAAAATTGAGTCATACAAATACTACAAATATGATTTTTTAGAAGTGTCGCTGCATTATACTATGATACAACCGTTTGTATTAAATCACTGTCCCACAACTTTTACAAATAATTTTCAAGAATAGAAAAAAAGAAAGCTTACTAGACCCATATATGTATTTTAGCAACATCCCTCATCTCCCAACCATCCAATGTGAGTAAATGGTTGGGATAGTTTTAGCTATAATGTTACGAATGAGCTATTGACCATTCGATCTAAGATATGATATCTAAGAGTATTTTAATTTTATTTTTTCTATAAATCATATAAATACGAAATTTGGTGCTTAATAGGGTGCACCAAAAAATATTTCCAAAAAATAAAATGAACAAAAAATTTGGAGGTATTTCGATATTTTATTTTACCAAAAATATTTTTTATATTTTTTGTTGGTTCGAACTTAAGATAGGATTGGACACGCAATTTGGTGTCAATATCATTTATAAAAAAATTAAAAATAAAACCATATTTAGACGAGATGGGAGATTCGAGATGTAGATAAAAATATGTTAGTGGGGATGGACAGCGAGCTTTCCTTTTATAAAACAGGGAGTCCCCGGACTACATAGTTTAGGAGAGCGAGCATGTGTTAAGGTGATCCTCAGGGACCACTGTAGTTGCGCCCTCGTAAACAGGGAAATCGAACGGCTGAAATGAAAAGCTAGAGTGCGGAGTCAAGTTTAGCTCGAGCCAAGCGTTTGAGGCCTGCGGCGCCTCCCTCGAGGAGAGAGACCAGAAACTGTCATTTTGCTTTGATGGGTTGGGTTTGGTTAAATATTTAACGCCGGTTAAAGTTAAACCCAAAACCCCTCCCATCATACTGCTATGCCTCCACTCTTTTCCTTAACCCTGGTTAAAGTTAAACCCCTCCCCTTCAATTGCTATAAATAAAGTAATAAATAATTTCCGGCTCTCACTCCGCTCGCTGCTGGAAGGGCGCTCAGACATTTCAAGTTTTCTCGCCATTGTTTCTTTCACCCCTCATTTTCAACGACGAGTTAGAGAGAGAGGAGAGAGAGAGAGGATTCAGAGTCCCCTATGAGTTCGCCCATGGAGGTTTAGAAGCTCGATGTTCAGTTGGAGAAGATTGTGCTGAGAGATAGAGAGAGACTCGGAGTCCCCTGCGGAAGAGAATAAGCCTAGAGAGAGAAAGACCTGGAGTTTCTGTTACAGAAGAAGAAGCCTGGGGAGTGAGGTCTTAGGGTTCATTTTTATCGAAGAAAAGCTCTGAAAGAGACCGATAACGAGTTTTGTAGGGAGAAGAAGCTCCGAGAAAGTGGACATGGCTGTGTAAACAACCCAGGAAAAAAATCATCTAGGCTGTGTAGAGAGAGAAAGTGAAAGGCGCGGGAAAATGCCGGTGGTTTTCCGGCACTCAGTGGGTGGAAGTTTCAAGGCTGTTAAGCAGGTGGTTCCCGTGGATTACGAGGCCGAGGTTTCTCAGAGACTCATCGATGCAGTTCACTCCGGCGATCTGAAATCGGCTCTGGAAATAATCGGCGATCCGTTCCTTGATGTGAACCACGTCGGAACCGTGTATTTGAAGAGCCGGAGAGCGGAGGTGGTTCAGGGCGAGGAAATCGCCGATGAGGTTAGGGCCGAGTTTGAGGAGTTCAAAACCGATGTTACCGCCCTTTTCCTCGCCTCTCATCGTGGAAACGTCGCTCTTGTTCGAAAGCTACTGGTCAGTCCCAAAAATCAAATTCCCCCCTCTCTCTCTCTCTCTCTCTCTCTCTCTCTCTCTTCTTCTC